GGAAGAGTCCGGGTATGCTACTGGTCGACCATCGACAGAATCTGAACTAATAGATTGTGATATAAGGAAATTGAAAGAGCAATTGGAGCAATTAGAATCCTTTAAGGAACCAACTGAGGACAGATTGTATCCAAAGTTACTTGATGATAATAAAGATTATGTACCATCAGGGGTAACTGTAAGATCAAAACGCTCTACAGATACTAAGAGAAACAATGAACCCATTATGAAGACAGATAATAAAAACCTGAGACAAACCAACTATACATCAGTGCGAGTTAAACCTGCAACATATGAAGGTACCTCATCATGGTTAGATTTTAAGTCCCATTTTGAGGCTTGCTCAAGTATTAATGATTGGTCTGAACAGGACAAAGGACTGTATTTAGCAGTCGCATTAAGAGGGCAAGCTCAAGGCATTTTGGGGGATTTACCGATTGAGAAACAACAAAATTATAAAGCGTTGGTAAATGCTCTGGAGCAAAGGTTTGCTCCACCGAACCAAACAGAGCTTTATCGAGTACAGCTTACAGAGAGGAGACAGAGTTAGGACAATCAATAAGACGATTAATAAATCAAGCTTATCCAACGGCACCAGAGGATGTACGAAATACACTTGCAAAACAATATTTTATTGAGGCTTTGGCAGACTCAGAAATGAGAATCCGTTTTAAACAGTCCAGGCCTCATGGTTTAAATGATGCACTCAGAGTAGCAGTTGAACTCGAAACGTATAACAGGGCTGAAAAACAACTTATAGACGGCCGTTCCTATTTAAGACAAACATCACAGACTGCTGAAAAGGAGAGTCATATTGACAGAAATAAAAGTTCTGATCACACTGCATTAACCGAGTTAATGTCAAAGATGGAACAAAAACTTTAAGAGCTGCAAAATGACATCCGTGAGCTAAAGAACGACAGTAATAGTCGTCAGACACAAAAAAATAACGGACGGGGACGATTTAACAGAGGTGGATTTCGACAAAAAGGAGGTCGTTATAATAATAATGGACGTGGATTTTCAGGTAACACAAATTGGCAAAGAGACAATTCTTATAACGGACAAAGTAATTATAAATCTTTAAATAATAGTAGAGGTAGAGGTACAACACGCATGATAAAAAGTTCACAGAACCAGAAAAATGGCTTTCATGGTAATATAGGTGTCTCGACAGCAGCTCATGAAGCTAGACACTGACCTATATGGATTATCAGCTAGTTTGCTGGTAGATACAGGAGCCACGGTAACTATTATTTCCGAGAAAACAGATAATAGGATACCTAGGGCAAGACAACCAGATTTGATGAGTTCAAATCAGCAAGTGTTCACTGCCAGTGGTGATCAGCTTAAGATTGTAGGTAAAGGTAGTTTTCATCTTGTTTTCCAACACGGTAAATCTGTTGTTGTCGAGGCTATTGTGGTTCACATCACAATTGATGGTATCCTTGGTCTTGATTTAATGAAGACAATCAAAGGTAAGATTGATCTTGAGAAAAAAAGTTTTGAAATTGATGGTACTCAGGTGATGTTGAAATATGAAGGAATATTCGGTTGTTTCAAAGTTATTGCCAAAGAGAAAGTGGTCGTGCCCGCTAAAAGCGAGATGATTATCACGGAAGCTGTGAATATTCCAAACAAGGAATCTATTCTCGATTCAGACCTCATGATTGAAGCTTCAGAAAAGTTTTTGCAAAGTGGAAAAGGTTTAGTGGGACGCTCATTAGCTAAATCAGGCGGAGAAGTTTTAGTTCGTTTGATAAATATATCTGCAGATTCGCAGATCATATATCCTTGAACTTCTATTGCTCAGGTAAGTCCTGTGCAAGAAGTAAAAATGAACGAACAGAATAAATTTGACAAGACATATCTAAGATCAGATTTGAAGAATTTAATAAGTAGGTCACAAAAACACTTGAATTCAAAAGAAGATGCTGTAGTTGAAAATTTATTTAAACAAGCGCCACGAAGACTCCCAAATACTCTAGCGAAAGAGGTGGATGATCAAGTTGACGGAATGTTGAAAAATGGATTGATCACTCCATCAATGAGTCCTTGGTCAGCTCAAGTTATTCTTGTGCGAAAGAAGGACGGGACAATGCGCTTTTGTGTAGATTACAGGAAATTGAACGCAGTCACGGTTCATGACGCATATCCTTTACCACGAATAGATGACTCGTTTGATCACTTGTCTGGATTCACCTGGTATTCAACATTAGATCGTTCGTCTGGATATTGGCAGGTAGAAGGTGAGCCAAAAGATCAATCGAAAACAGCCTTTGCAACCAGATCTGGACTATACGAGTTTAAAGTAATGCCTTTTGGATTAAAGGATGCTCCAACAACGTTTGAACGGTTAATGGAGACGGTTTTACTTGGTTTGCAATGGGACATTTGTCTCATATACCTCGATGACATAATTGTTCTTGGGAGATCATTCGATGACATGGTAACAAACCTTCGAAAGGTATTTGATCGACTTTATGCAGCTGGACTAGAATTGAAGGCGAAAAAGTGTGAACTGTTCTCAAAACAAGTTACCTATTTAGGACATGTTATCTCTCCAGCAGGGACCGCTTCTGATCCAGCGAAAACAGAAACAATCGAAACATGGCCTGTACCGAAACATGTTAAGGAGCTGCGCTCATTCCTAGGATTTTGTGGCTATTACAGAAAATTTATACGGAACTTTTCAGGTATTGCAAAACCCTTGCATAGATTGACAGAAAAAGGCAGAAAATATGAATGGAATGAACAGTGTCGAGAAGCATTTGAAAGTTTGAAAACACAGCTAGTCTCCTCACCAGTATTGGCTCACCCTGACTTTACACAAACCTTTATACTTGATACAGATGCAAGTAATGAGGCTATGGGCGCAGTGCTTTCACAAGAGATAGATGGGAAAGAAAGACCAATTGGTTTCGCGAGTCGCACTTTAACAAAACAAGAACGCAGATACTGCGTGACCCGAAAGGAACTACTTGCATTTGTTCATTTCACAAAACATTTCAAACATTACTTGTATGGTAAACGGTTTATTGTCCGTACAGACCACAGTTCTCTTACCTGGCTTCTTAATTTCAAGGAGCCAGAGGGACAAATAGCCAGATGGCTTCAGATCCTAAGTTCATACGTTATGAAAAAAAACATAGGCCTGGGAAGCAACATACAAACGCGAACGCCTTGAGTCGCATCCCATGTAAACAATGCGGATTTCATACAAGTCCCTAAGAAGATGAAAAGGTTATTGAGCTTGTTAGAACAATCGCTAGTTCAGAGGAGCCTAGTAATACCAGTTTTGTGGAAAAGCAAAAACAAGACGATGATTTAAAGATGGTTCGGGACTGGGTAGAATTGAAAAAGAAACCAGACTTCAGGAAAATAGGTGCTGAGTCAATGACTGTGAAGACACTTTGGGCTCTATTTGAGTCTTTAGTCATACACAATGATATACTTTGTCGTCAAAAGAAAGAACCGAAAACTGTATACAAGCAGTTGTACCAAAAAGTGAGAGAAGAAACGTTTTGACCCAGTATCATGACAATCGCACTTCAGCCCATTTGGGGGTTAGAAAGACCCTAGCAAAAATTAGAGATAGATATTATTGGCCAGGAATTCAGACCGATGTGAAGCAATACATCATCGGTTGTACTCAATGCTCAAAACGAAAGAATCCAAATCCTAAGAAACGAGCACCTATGCAGAAATTAGAGTCAAGTTTTCCGATGGAACGTATTGCAATGGACATTCTTTGTGAGCTACCAATGACCAGGAGTGGAAACAAACATATTTTGGTTATTTCTGATTATTATACGAAATGGACTGAAGCGTTTCCAATGCCAAACATGGATGCACAAACTGTAGCCAAAATTCTTGTTGAGGAAGTAATTGCTCGATTCGGTACACCATATTCAATACACTCTGATCAAGGAGTACAATTTGAAAGTGCCCTTTTTCAAGAGCTCTGTAAGCTCTTACAAATCAATAAAACACGAACCACCCCTTACCATCCAAAATCGGACGGGATGGTTGAACGATTTAACAAAACGTTAGTTACTATGCTCAGCTCATATGTTAACAAATATCAAAATGATTGGGACGAACATTTGCCTTATATTCTCATGGCGTACAGATCTTCAGAACATGAGACTACAGGCAATACCCCAAAGTATCTTATGTTAGGCAGGGAGGTTACAACGCCCTTAGATATTCAGTATGCAATGCCAAGTAATATTGCAACTATTCCCCAGAATAAATGGGCGTGGGAGATAAAAGAGAAAATGGAAGAGGCTCATTTGAAAGTAAGAGAAAGTATCAAAGGGAATATGATGAGACAAAAGAAATATCATGATCAAAAGTTAGCATGGCAAACCTTTAAACAAGGGGATCAAGTTTTCGTATATTTCCCAAATGTAAAAACTGGCACAACGTCAAAATTAACTAGTTTATGGAGAGGACCGTTTAAGATTATATCAAAAATGTCAGATGTCAATTATAAGGTTAATTTTGGGCGACAAAAACGTCCACAAGTTATACATGTGGATCGTATGCGTAAGCGATCAGCCCAAGTTTTAACGGGTGGAAAACATGAAGACATCCCAGGTTATAGAAACGTAGGAGTACAAGTAGAAAATTTCACGTTTGAAACTTGTGAGAATGTGAATGACATAGGAGACAATATTGATTCAATAGAGGAAGTATCGAACAAAGAAACAATGAGTAGCAAGTTAAGTAAACCCGAGGAGTTTTCAAATCCTGTACCAAGTTCGGTCTCAGAAAGGTTTAGGAAAAAGCCACAATGGATGAAAGATTACGTGAAATAGTAGACGAGCTAGTATACCTATCAGAGTTAAAGAGGGAACATAGCTAGATATTTTAGTATAATGCATATTGCTGTAGATATGTTATAGTATAAGTTTATATATATAGTTTTAAATTAAGTGTAGCATAACTTTTATCCTATTGTTTTATTTTATACTTTCAGAAAAGGAAGAAAAAAAAAGAAATATGCCAAAAATAAAGACTACACCTAGGAGTCAACATCAAAAGTGTACTTGGTGCCCTTACAAGACACTGGATACAGATGACTTAAAGGAGCAGTTAGTAGAGTGTGGTATGCGTGCCATTCATAAACGTTATACATGCACAGAAGTAGGGTGTTCATATATAAGCAACAAAGTGAGTAATGTTAAAAGACATAAGAAAGTACATACCAAAAAGTAAAGTTATAATATCTGACATAGACTTGTCGTCAGACACAGATGAATGCCTCAGGAAAGATCCGGGACAGATAATTGGTCCCATTAGTACAGAAGAAGAAATACATTCAGATGGAAATAACAATGACGTTGAGACCAATAAGATTGATACTATAATTGAAGCAACTCAGAAAGTTAAGGAAGATATCAAGCATGATAAAGTAGGTCAGTTAATAAAAGGAATGAAACAGGCTAGTAGTGTAGCTGTACAAGAAAACAATAAGGAAGTAAAGTCTTCCCCTTTAGTTAGGAAGGATGTAGAAGTTGGTAGAATGATAAGAAAGCCGGCAAAGCCAATCATAATTGCAACAAAGAAGAGGCCTTTTCAGGCTATTACATCTACAGAAACATATGATCTGAGTCCAAAGGATTTAAGACATATAATACGAAGAGCCCCTACAAAAGTGGTTAGTAGCGATATAAGAAAAAGAGTAGAGACTGGAACACAGGCATCTGCGTTAACAACTGTCAAAAGAACAGTAACCACTAAAACTACATACGAAGAAAATGGAAGACAAGTTGAAATAATTGAGGTAGTTGAACAGATCCTTTAAGCGACCAAGACACTGGTATCCTTAAAACTTTATTGAAGCAAGGAATGATTTACTGATAAAGAGTTGTGATCTCAAAATTGAAATTGCTAGACAGTTTTATATATGTGTATGTATACGAATATGATTTAAAAAAAACGGGATTCTGAAATGACCCGGTTGTGTTAAATAAATAGGATAAGATAACGGAGTTGGCAGATAATATTGTATAAGGAAGGACGTTATCATTATGACACTTATGGAAAATGAATAAATATATCAAAACATACGTTAACTTTGTTTTATAAATATGTATGTGTCCGGTTGGATTGGGGACGTTAACTCCAAGGCTGGTGTACATTGAATGTCACACTTTGTGCACCTTAAAGATCCCTTTGTAGCAGCAATGTCTGTTGGCATCGTGTTCGATAAGAGTAGGCTTCTTGTGAGCCGCTACATAGGCAAAATTATTTCATACCGGTTATTTGGTTAGATCAGTACTTCCTGTGGCAGTTAAAATTATTGTGTCTTTGTATCATCATTTGATCATTATCCCTAAGTTTATCGGGCAATGAATGTGTCGCAAATTTGTTAAAGTAGAAAAATGTATTTCTACGAGTTCAGAAGGTAATTCCTGATATAGGAATGATTCTGTCTTTGCAAGGAAAATCTTTTCAACTGACATAAAAATGCGAGGACGCATTTCTCGGAGGCGTGGGTAATGGGACGACTATGCATTATAAAGGGCGAAGTCATTAGTGTCTGTCCTCTTTCGTATTTAAACCCTAAACAGCGAAACATTGGAATTAAAAGGTACAGTAACAATTTCTTTATCTGACTTAATACTTACCTTAAACTTCATCGTATTAATAAGTTACATTTTATTAAAGTTACAGTGAGGTTATTCATTTGATAACTTGCATTATTTCCGACAATATTCTACTTTTCAATGCGAGTACTTATGCATATCTCTGATTATTTTATAAACTGGCAAATGAGTGAACTTGTATGAAGAATCCTCGGCGTGAGATGCAATAACAATATAATTGGTATTTTTATGGTCATCGGGTACCATAATATCTTCCTTGAGATAAGATATTATCGTTTAATTACTTGACATCCCTTGTTACTATGCTATGCTCAATATGGCACAGTCCAATAAAGGTGGACTCGTTCAGGGTTGACACACCATTGTTACTAGGCAATATAGGGTAATGGTATTGTCCCATAGTGGTATATCCCAATCATCCAGGGGTATATAAGCAGCCGTCAGCAGTCAGTCAGGGTCAGTATTACGATCAGATCACACGTATAAGTAATGAGATAAATACCTGCTTATTGTTCCAAACATTCGATTGACTGCTCAAGTCTTTCCAATAACTGAAATTTGGCAGAAGAATTGTCTTAAGCTGTTACTGAGCTGCATCGAGAAAAGCAGAAAAGCTATAGAGCTAAGAGAGCTTCTTTTATTAAGATAACGATATAGCAGAAAGAGCAACAATATTGCGAGCCTGTTGAGCTAACTATTTGGGATAGAAATATTGTGAGCCAGTGGAGCTACAGCGCTAGTGAGTCTGATGAGCAGCTAAGAGCTACAGAGCTAGTGAGCAAGTGAAACTTGCTATTATCTGACCTGTAGAATCAGTAAGCCAGTTGGGCTGAATATTTATTTGAGCTGGAGGAGCTGGAGGAGCTTTAATGAGCCGAGAGAGTTGAAAAGGCATTGTTAACAAAAGAAACTATATACACAAGTCTCAGATCTCGAGAATCAACTCGGGTACGGACCCCCGGCACGTTATAATACTATTTATAGCCCTATCGACATTGAAGTACAAAAAGAAAATGCAGAAACTGTTCGATTATCGACATATTTTTCAAGACAACATTCTGGAAAGTTAACCGCTTCAAGTTTAAACTTGGAGATCGAGTAAGACTTACATATTTGAGAAATATTTTTTCTCGGGAATATGACGAAAAATTGATGGGTGAGTTATTTAAGATATCCGGACGATTCTGGAGAAGCATGACACCTTTGTATCTCATCAAAGATTACCATGGAGAGGAAATAGCTTGATCCTACTACCAATCTGAACTTCAGTGAATAAACATCAAAGACAATTCCTTGTGGAAAATTGAGAAAGTGATAAAACCAAAGGAAGAGGACCCTAAAACAATATTATATCAAATGGTTAAATTGGTCAAACAAGTTTAATTCCTTGGTGAAAGCCAGTGATGTTAAAGACTATTTAATCGCATAAATGAGTTTTTAATTGTACATTATTTTCTTTTATAATTGTATTACAAATAAAAAGTATTAAATTAACATTGTATTTTATTTTTATATTTTTATCTATAGTATATGCATCTTCTCGAATGTATCAACTTGTAACCATTTCACAAAGGTAAATATATATGAAAATCTAAACATTTCTGATGCCCTTTACAAGAAACGTTCGGAAGATTTCACGCTGACTCCTAAAAGGGCGGGGTCTCCCCTCGATAAACGAGATCGTGTATGTGTAGGATCGGATGAATAGTCAGACTCATAACAGTGGACAGGTCATTTCAAGCACCAAACATCCGCTATTGGATACATGACCTCAACTAGAGCCTCATTCACATACATGCACGTGGAAATCTACTCTAGATGTTCATGTATCATGGAAACTTTCTTAATCGAGTTCTATTAAACTGTTTCATTTATAGTACCGGTTCGGGTTTAGTTTTTTACACAAGTCAACTTTAACCGATTTGTTTATAATTTTTTTCATTTCAAAATATTAAATCATAATGATTACTGAACCTTTAAAACATCGTTTTCTTGTGTTTGAACAACTTTTTTACTTATTTAACAAAATCATTAAATAACCAATCTCATAATTCAATATAACTAAGTATCCTAATAATCCTTCAGATGATCACATAACGGGTCCCATGTTGGAAATTGAAAGATTGTATATCTTTAATTACGGTTCCAAATAATCCTTTAGATGATCAAACAATCATCAATCATGATCATGATCTGGATTTTGGTTCAATTTGCTATAACATATACTACTCTAGACGTTGCATTAATATCATATTTTAATTTTTAGCTCACCATTCCTAAAAGGAAATGTGAGCTTTTGCCATCACTTGGCGTCCGTCGTCGTCCGTCGTCCGTCCGGTGTAAACTATTTCAAAGATCTTCTCCTCTGAAACTACAAAACCAATTCCAACCAAACTTAAGCTGAATGATCCTTATGGTATCTAGAATACAATTTGTGTTTTATTTTCTGTTTTGTCAAAAAACATGGCCGCCATGGCTAAAAATAGAAGATAGGGGTAAAATGCAGTTTTTTGCTCAAAAAGTAAAGCATTTAGAGCAAATCTGACGAAGTAAAAATGTTCATTAGGTCAAGTTCTATCAGCCCTGAAATTTTCAGATGAATCTAACAACCCATTGTTGGGTTGAAGTCACTAAATTGGTAATTTTAAGGAAATTTAGCAGTTTTTCGTTATTATCTTGAATATTATTATAGATAAAGATAAACTGTGACGGCAAAAATGTTCAGCAAAGTAAGATTTACAAATAAGTTTATAAGACCAAAATTGTCAATTAGGCCAATTGACAATTTTGGTCATATAAAGGAGTTATTGTACTTTAAAGACAATTTTTCACAATTTGTTCATCTAGTTTGCTTACTTTAAAAAACCTTCTCCTTTGAAACTGCTGAATCAATTTCAGCCAAACTTGGGCTGAATGAGTTTCAGAGTATCTAGTATAAATTTTGTATTTTATTTCCTTGAACGTCAAGAAACATAGCCACTATGGCTAAAATGGAACATAGGGGTAAAATGCATTTTTTGCTTTTGAAGAAAATATGACAGATACAAACAACATTTAAATGACATTTTTAAGCCACTTATTAATACATATTCAAAAGCAAAAATAATCATTGATGAAAGATATAAGCACAAAATCAAAGGTGAGCGATTCAGGCTCTTGAGAGCCTCTTGTTTTTTTTAAATCATACACACAATGTCTTTTCTAGTTAATGGTGTTGTTTGGGTACGGTCCCTTTGCCGTATAGACCATATCACACATGAAAGGGAATGAAAAACATTGCGATCATATTGAGTCAACAGGAAAAGTTGAGACAATAAATTGCTGACACAGACCATGACTTATTGGGAAGGACCACATAATCTCCATGGAAATGATAAGTGCAAATCCTTAGACAATAGCATATATACCATAGCATTGACTTACCCCTAATGGTTCCCCTTAAACTGACCTAATTACAAACTAATACATGTAAAAATTTGCAAAAGTTTCAAAGTCAATAGACCATACCTGAGGGGAAACGACCAAATAATCTCCACGGAAACGAGATGTGCCAATGCTACTACAACTACATACCAAATATTACTGACCTTCCACTTGTGGTTACCAATAAACTGATATAATCACAACGTATACATTAAAGAAACCTCCGACGCCGGAAAGAGCACGCATAAGTCCCGCTTTTTCGACTAAGCCGGCGCAAGACAAAAACTGACCAAATGTAAAAAGTAAAATAAAAAAAATATCGAACTCAAAGCCTTAGGGTAATTTAAAACGGAAAGTCCTTTATCAAATGGCAAAACCAAACGCTCAAACACATCAAACGAATGAAAAACAACTGTCATATTCCTGACTTGGTACAGGCATCTCCTTATGTATAAAATGGTGGATTAAACCTGGTTTTATAGCTAGCCAAACCTTTCACAAGCATGGCAGTCGCATAGAATTCCATTATATTGACAACAATGTGTGAGCAAAACAAACCAGACATAATAGGTAAAATGTCAAAATTTGGGGTACAGCAGTCAACATTGTATTATAATCTTAGTCACTATAAAAAGATATAACTATTTCAACAAAGAAAAACAAAATGGCATATAGACACTCCATACACAAAGTACATAAGCAAAAATGAAAAACAAGAATACAGAAAGGACAATAGCATAATAACACAATG